TGCTACAACTATACAGTATCTAGTTTTAAATCCAATCCAAGACTTGATAAGATAAATGCAAAAAAAGAGTTATMAAGAACCTGTAACATCAAGCTCTAATCCTGAACTGATAAAAAGTTAATTCCTAAGATGAATAAAAACCCAGCTCACACCAAAGCCTGGACTGGCCTTCCTGTGACCCCCCACCCCACCAACAGCAACATTCCCACCCAGACTCCAAGTCTATGATGATGGACAGAGCGGAGATACAAGACGAGTCAGCTACAAGAGCTAAAATTCATAGCYTCCAACACTAACAACCCGCTCAGTGATGCATCTTTTTTGTCATTTCAATTATAGATCCTTGTCTGACGGAGAAGGCTGCAGTAAATTATACGAGCTCACATTCTTCCTTTTGTCTGTTTTTCTTTTTTCTCCTCCCCAAACGTGGCCTCCCCACCTCACCCCCCGTTCTCCGATTCTGCAGTTTTAACAGCCTCCTCCTCTCATTCATTCTGGTGACGGGAYTGACAAAAGCCATTTACAATTATCTGCTGTGAACAGCAGCGGGCTGCTGGAGGAAAGCACGCGTACACACTCCGTTTAACCCTGCTCGAGCCAATTTCACCTTTAACCTTTTCAAATGATACGGAAAAACAGGAATGAGAGCCACCTATGGTGGCGTAAGATAGCTTATCTGCTTCAGTTAGTGTCAGACTCAAAGGAGGAGGATTTAGTGTCATCAAGCTACCTCTTTAGCTAGGACCACTTTAAATTTAATGTATAAATTAAGAAAAAACATGAATTTTCTGAATTTTATAAGTATAAATCAGCGGTGGTCAGTCCTGGTCCTGGAGGGTCTCAGCTCTGCATGTTTTGTTTGTTTCTCTGATCCAACACACCTGATCTGAATGAATATATGATTATTCAAATTCAAATTCAAATTCAATTCAAAAATACTTTATTGATCCCAGAGGGAAATTGGGTGTTGTTGTAACTCATTTAACTAAAAACTTATTGTAGATGCTGATGGCTGT